CATTGTGTTTTCAAGTGAAGAAATTTTCATTCAGCAGTCATATGAGAATAGTCGAAGTCCATTGAGGCTTGAAGGTGAAGGTGGGGGCTAATATTAGTAATTTGTATTTCTTTTCTTACTAGCTTTTATATAATAATACTTTCCATTGCCTTTTAAATTTTTTATAAGACCTTTTCTTAGACTTAGCTATTTTTTTCACATTCCCAAGATTGAACAGCTGTCAGAACTAGAAAAGAGTTGCCCTACCTTTAGAAATAAGTTCCTAAAGCCTGGATCATGGAACTTATTATGCCCTTCTCCTAGCAGATCTCAAGGGGTCTTTAAACAGCAACAGAGAAGTTATGCTGCAAATGAAGATTTGAATCCAGAGCCATTTCTTTCAAGTGTCAAAGTTTTAATCATTCATAGTCAGTAATGCCAGCAAACCGAATGACAGAAAGATAACTCAGAGGACAGAGATCCTTTGTGTTCTAACTGAGATAAACCTGTTTGTTTACTGAACCATGAGATGCTGTAGCAGGTATCTTAAGATTTTCTGGTACAGTTAGAAAACAATATTTTGTATGAGACTAAGGGTATGTAATTTCCTGATTCTTTTGCAAAGTCATCTCGAGAAATAAATAACAATCTTTTTCACTGAGATTCATATCACTACTGGTTAGCTGCTAAGTGGCATGGTTGTACTGTTTTAAAGAGAAATATGGGGTTACTAAATTTATGCTTGGAAATAGCATTAATTCAGGGACAAATCATTTTTGGATGTGTTGATGAGAATTCTAAGTAATACTGCTGGACTCTATGGAGTTAGCTCATTGAGTCAGGAAGAACAGAATTTAGAGGCATCTACAGAAATTATTCTTTCAAAGATCCCTGCACTTACTTTTATGCCCCATGAGCCAAAATCAACACAGTTTTGTTATCTACTTTACAGTGTGCTCTTTGGTGGTGGATGCAGGTGGCCTGGCTGCATTCAAAAGAATAAATAAATGCCCAGTGGAATGGGTATCCCATGTCCAGAAAGTTTCTTTATTGAGATTTGCTTTGATGTAGGCATGAGTTACTGGTATTTTGAAATAACTGAATTGTGCTTGCCTTAGGAGCAGTGTGTTTGTTGCCTGTTATGGCAGAGGTGAGATGCTATTGCTGATGCCTGATCAGGAGGACTTTCATGGTGTTACTACTCTGGAGTGTTCAGTAGTGGCTTTTGCAGAGCCTCTCCTTGCACAGACTACAGCTCCCTAAAGGCACCAGTGAGACCAGGATGGCTTTAAATGATAGCTGCCATCATGCTAAATGACACTGGAAAGTGAGAAGCTGAAAGACCCATTAGCTGCTGATTTGTGTCATAGTTATCCTTCAAGGCAGGTCATGACAAGTTGTTGAGAGATATTAACCTGGATGCTAATGCCCAAGGAGGAGTTCAACTTCAGCATTAATCTTGTTTTGTGGCTTTTGTCAGTGTGGCATAAAGGTAGGTGTGTTGTAATTGATCTCCAAGCCAGAAAGGAGATGTTAATGTGTAGCCAGCACCAGAATAGTAAAAATGAAGACCAGTGGAATAATAGAGAATTCTTTGTTCATCTACGGAAAGATCTACAACTTCCTCAGCCAGCTGAGAACACGTTATTATATTGTCAAATGTTAGTAATTTTGCACTGATGCGTAGAAAATCATCTGCGAATTACCAGATAACCTGATAAATTCAGATCCACTAAATTACTTGGAATGGTTTTAGACACGCTGTGTCTAAAAATTGCAGTTCTCAAGGCTCCTATTTAGCTCCCCTCTAACTCCAGCAGTGCCTATGATTTTGCTGATATTCTTTACTGTGTCTCGCATACTCAGAAGTGCCGTAACCTTGATAAAACTAAGTCTCTATTTAATGTCCATGCTCCATCATTATCCACAAATCAAATATCAATATGGCCTTTGCGTCTTGTTGCAGTTCATTTTCTCAGGCATGTGTTGTGTGCTGCACAAGAGCCAGCAATAAGAGTCATTTCTTATAAGGCCACAGTTTATGTGGATGGCAGTGTCCCCAGAGTGGCAATATTTGCTGTGCAGCCAGTGGGTTGGTGGTCCCAGCATGCTTCCAGCCCTGTGTCTCCTCTGCCTGGAGACCACTCTGTGCAGCCAGGAGTGAGGCAAGTTGAGTTCCATGAATCCCTCCATTTAAGACTCTGTAACAAAGATAGAAAAGAACAATCTGAGATATGACATTTAAGCACATTACTGAGCATCATCCGAAGCCTGACCCTTGATTGGTAGAGCCCGATGTAATTCCTTGGATTTTAGCACACTGAAAAACAATTTAGGCCAGTGTGGGAAGGAGGTCTGGCCCATAATTTTTCACAGTAATGAAATCCCAGATGTCAGGTATCCCCTTTGCTTGTGTTGTCTTGGCTGAAAAAGAGATGATGACTCACAGTGAGTTTGTAGGTGAGTGAGCTATAGGATAGCATGAAGAGAGTAAATGCCAGTAAATCAGCAAACATGGATGGCCAAATGTGGCTGTAAATGGGAGTCCTGTACTTGTTCTCATAGCACATTTGGTGGTAAGGCTTTAATTATTTTAAAAACATTAGTGCAGGTATCCCATATTTCATGTGAAATAGCAATCTGTAATTGTGCCTCTCTAGGATTTTACATGGATGGATAAATATCCCCTAGCACAGGATCAGGGCCATAAAGGACAACCCCACTTTCCAGGAAGTGCCTTCCCCTCTCCCTCCATCAGGATCATAGATTCACTTGGTGACACCTCTCTGACATTTACTCTCTGAGATCCCACACTTCTGCCTCTGTGATGTATGATGTGGTAGTAAAGTCAAATTAATGCAGCTCTCAAGTCCAAACAGAGCCTGATGTCTTCTTTTGTAAAAGCAGGTTATAATTTTTGTTACCTACCCTGTAATTTTCAACCTATGAACATTTTCCCTTTAATTCTATTGTATCATTTGCATGCTCTGCCAAGCTGAACAGAGAAAACTCAAGTCTGCAGGTCACATTTTTTAGCAGAAGCAATACTCCCAAGGTATATGTTTGCTTAATTTTTCATCTTTAAATAGATAGGACTGCCCAAAAATTGAACATACTTGTCTAAGAGGGAGAGAAGAGTCATTAAAGGCACTGATGAAGTAGCAGTAATTTCAGGACAGATTTTCATGTATTGATTTTTAACTGTTGGAGAGAAATTGTGATGTTTTTGATAAAGTCCTGTGAAGACATGCACATTGTTTGTCAAACAAATCTCCATTTAGCTTTCAGTGGTAATCCAATCCAATCCAATCCAATCCAATCCAATCCAATCCAATCCAATCCAATCCAATCCAAACTCAGTGTCTGAGAATCACATTTTCCCAACAGTTTTTATTTTCTCCTAAACAACATTCTTGGTAGCAAATAAAAAGGTAGTTTCTAGTTATAGGAAGCAGGAACTGAGTCAGGTCTAGACCTCTAGAGATTCCAACTTGGCCCTGTGACTTCTGATCCTGGGTCTTGGCTTTCTCTGCCCCAGGCTCCTGATCTACCTCTGTGTCTGGAGCCACCAGAGGAGTGAACTGAAGCTGAAGGGGATCACACCTGGGCATGATAGAGGTGCTAGAAAAGCAAAGAGCAAGTGAGATGGGAGAAGCAATAAAGTAGAATTCTTTGCAATGTTTTCCTAAGAATTGAGGAATTCACATAATATGGAACTCTTACTGGCTGACATTTTACTATGATGATGTTTTTCCTCAGCAATAATAGGATGACCACTGATAAAAAGCAACTACACCATTAGGTTGATTATGCTATTGTGTGAGAAGAGTTGACCTTGCCCTGGTGTTAGACCTGTAACAAAAGAATCAGTACAAAACCAGGAAAAACTACTAGCTGCACTTTCTGAAGTTGTTGTTGGGAGGTAGGTTTAACTATTTAAACTGCTATGGGAAGTGTGCCTGCTCCCTCTGAACCTACGTGCACATTTACTGGGGTTCTAAGCCCTTAATGCTGGCACCAGGAGACATCTGTGATCCCCTTCTCTGCCCCTGTATAGATCATCCTTGGTACAGCCACAAGCTGAGGGTGTCCCAGCTCTTGCTGCTTCAGGCACTGGCTGGTGAGCCTACTGCAGGTACCACAGGACATGGTTGCTTTCCGAGTACCTCCTTTTTGTCTAAAAGACAACCAACTCTCAACTGCTCTTGCATGTAAAGGTTTAGTGAAACAAAACCAAATCCTCTGTCAGAAGCATGAAGAGCTGGCAGATAGTCTCTGAAACACTGAAGGAAATTTACCCTTGTATTTTCATCAAAATATGAAGCCATCACTGAGTGAAAAATTTTGTTACCTGTGATACATGAACTTAAAGATGTTTTTTCCTTTAGGAGGAAGAAATGCTGTTCATTGTCTTGCAGTTTTCAAATGGTTATTTTTTTATAAATCAATATTAAGATGCTGTGAGTGTGTGTTTTGTCACTGAATTACACATTTGTGTTCTGATAAAAGGAGAGCACTGTAGAAAAGAAAAAGGTGTCAAGTTAACTCATACTGAGCTTGTACAATGGTTTTCTTGTCTTTGATAGAAGCTAAAATAAAACAATGAATAACAAAGTGCGTTCACATAAAATGCCACTGGTGTTCAGCTGTCTGGGTTGCTTCTTTGGGTTTTGATGAAATCCAGAGGCAGTAATACATGTGCATTTACCAGACTTATGGTAGATAAAAGATCTGTCAGACTCAGCAGGAAGAGGATTTCTTGGACTGTAACAATGAAGATGCCCATGCTTCCCATTACTTCGCTATGGCCAGGTTTTTATTCTTGGGCTCTGTATAGCAACTAACCATGGAGAAATTCACCAGGAAACTTTAGTTCCTTTTCCTGTCAGGCAAACAAGATGCATCATGATATTTTAATCAAACCTACAACATTTAAAAATAATCTGCACTAGTTAATGTTTGTGTTACTATATAACATGAATTACTTTTTACTTGACCTTTTCTATAATATTTATCCCCAGATCTGCCATTGGGAAGCTGGGAGTGGAGGCATTCGAGGCAGTGTACAGCTGCCTCAAGCAAGCGAGACAGCAGAATGCCAGTGAGGAGGAGATCAGGAGCTCTTTGGAGAAACTGGTTTCTAGAGCAAGTGATTGCTTCGAAGTGGATCAGCTGCTGTACTTCGAGGAACAGCTGCAGGCTTCAGAGCCACATCTCCAGCTGTGACAGTGTGTCTGCAACAGCTGTGAATGGCACCGAGGAGGAGGGGAACTCCTTCAGACCAGCAGGCAAGTACAGGAGTATCGCTGGCCAAGGGCTATATACAAATCATGGACAGGACAGGACTGCTGAGGAACGAGTCTCAAGCTGTTTTACTTTCCAGCATCAGTCTCATTATGTGGTTATGTCAATAGGAAGATGCTAGCAGCTCACATCTCAGGCAGTAGACAAAGAACTTAATGTTGCAACAAAGCATATTGACTGTAGTTCCATCCAATCGCTATAAGCACACGTACCTTTGGTCGAAACAATGCTTGCTTATTTAGAATACAATCCCTGCTTGTAAGCCTTAAAGTACAATGCACAGAGCTCCATTATTAAGCTTAGAACTTTCTAATATCTTGTTAGATATACTTTTCTGTAGCTTAGGGAGTTATTCTAGAAAAGTGTTAATACACAGACCATTGTTCTATTTGTCCTTACTTTTCTACTTATATAATTTTTCTGCTGACAAATCTTATGGCTACTGCTTAGCAGTAATTGCTGTTCTACTGCCTTTGAGGCCTGCCTTTTGCAGCTTTCCCAAAACCCTCTGATTTTAAAGACTCCCACACATGAGGTATTTGGATGACACTGCTGAGGGTAATGTAGTACATAAGCATGTGGGTAAGCTCCATTTGAGAGTCCAGACTGCAGTGAGAAGTGGGTAAATATGGCACAAATTTCAGGAGCAGGAAGAAGAACAAATGTTTGTGTCACTGGAGGGAGGATTCACATTTACCTGTGTCCCCTTCTTCTGCCACTTAAAGCAAAGGAAGGGTGTTCTGGACTGTGGCTGGATGCCAGTCCTGCGCTCAGTGCATCACTGGCAAAGCTGCCTTTGATGGAATGATGCAGGATTAGACTCCAGCTGCTGTTGATGTCTGTGCTAACTTGTCCATATGATACTTAAGCTCATAATTTTTGTAATTTGGCTGATTTACTCTTAAACATATATGTATATGTAGGGCCACTCAGCCCCTAATTGTCTTGTTATTATTGATTGTTCAAAAGGGCTGCATTTAATCTGAGCTTTAAAGAAACTGTGGACATACATACATATGTGAATATTTATATACATATATGCATGCTCACATACACAGAGATAGGGATGTGTGTATTCATAATGGCAGAAATATGTCTGGTCATACACTGTTCCTGTCTAAAGAGTTTTGGATTAAATTCATTCAAAAATGGAACAATAAACTGATTTTTTTTTCTGCCTTGCAGATTGTTACTGTTAATGTTCTTTCTTAGTGTTTATGCTCCCTTCTTCATATGCATCCCACTCCTGCTGATTTCAACTCTCTATCAGGCTCTGATTATGCACTTAATGTTTTCCTTCTACCTCTTCCTTCCTTATTCTGCATTCTGAGCTCTTTCCTCCATCTGTGTAAGAGAATAAAGGTTAACAAAGTCATACAATTGGTAAAGGAATCTAAAATGAATTGTAGACCAAATGAATTTTAGGCATTGAGCCATTATCATAATCCTTATGCTTCCTGATTTTTCACCACAACTCTTAAAGGACTTTGGGACTGTACTAAATGAATTAGAAGAAATTCATAATAGGAATATAAAAAAAACCATTTCTATTTGACCTGAGTTATTTACAGTGAAGTATACCAGTATTGATGGTCAATTAAGCAGTGCTACTGAACCATCTTTAAAACATATGTTAAGAACAAAGCAAAAGGTAAGTAGAGTCATCTAAATGTATTTTAGCAGCAGCATAAGCTAAGGAAGCAAAAGGCACCTCCAGCTACAGATTATGTAGCACTGTACTTCCAGCTCAAAGTAATAAGACATTCTGGTATGTTTCAGCTTTTTCTAGCTTCAGCTTTTATTTAGAATACAGGGTGTTACAAGCCAGAGACTAAAGTCCACTATGATGTTCACTGAGGTAGGAAAACACATTTGTTTGTCAGGTTTCAGTCTCTTTCCTGTTACTTCTTCTTGACTCACACTCCCCATCCTTCTCAATGTTGTGTAGGTGTGCCTCATTCCATATTTTCTGCACATAACTTAAGATAATTTTAAAACAGAAGTGCTGAAGTCCAAGATACAGGAGGAGAGTTGGATGTTGCAGGGACTTTTAAGTCCAAAAGTGAACAATGAGTAACTGACACGGTGAGAATAATGTCAGAGGAAGATAATCTTCACTCCTTCTTTTACCTTTGCTGCTAGGTGATTTATCACAAAAACTTCAAAACCAGCCTCTGTAAGCAGTCAATGTGCTTTTTATTAGTGACAAAGACTTCTTCATGTTTTTTTCCATGCAGCTTACAAGAAAAAATACCTGGGTAAGAATGGGTCAGGATCCTGAAGACAGTCAAGGACTCAGATGATCATTAAAGGGAAACCTTTAAAACCTGAAAAACATGGTTCAGTCACTCAGATTGACTTCAGGGAAACAGTTGCTCTCTGATGAGCAGTATTTTCTTTCATTTGTTGCACAGGAAAAAGAGCTCACAGTGCCTTTTACGCTCACTTAGTTGCTTTCTGCTCTCTGCAGGGAATGACCTTCAAGGCATTTGGGGATCTGGAGGTTACTGGTTTACTGTTTGTATGCTTTAAACCATACTTTGCTTCATTTTGTGGGTTTTTTACATGAATCATAGTACAATTAGCCAATGTAGTACACACATTAAACACAGCAGGAAGTTTTTGCCTTTGAGCTGTAGTAAAAGCACAGAATTACATCCCATGGATTTAACAGAAATTTTTTACATTACTGTTTGACTTGCAAAGTTCCATTGCTGGTGGTCATTAGTAGAACTCTAAAAGGAAGGAGGAGGATTGTTGATATCATACATCTTCAGTAATAAAAAAGCAACAGAACTGCTGGAAGTAAATGTGAGGAAATAAATGTAAAGGCATTAAGTTGCTGGACATAAATCTTTATAAAAAGTCCCATTTAACCTACATATTTGTACCAAAAGCTTTGCAAGCATGAGGCAACCTTGCTGCCTTTTTTATTGATTCTCTTAAAAATGCTGCAAGATGAATTGCTTGGTGAAGAGATACTGAAAACAAAGGAAGTGGGGTGAGTATTTTTTAAATGTTTTGAGGCCTTAAACCTGGTATAAGGGTCCTGGAACTATAAAGGGAAAAACAACACCTGAGTTTTCTGATAAGAAAATATAACTGTCAGTTTCTTGTTGACAGCTGGATTAGGAGGCACGCCAATTCTATTTTTCACAGCAAACAAAAAGGAAATCCTTTCTTAGAGGTGATTGTTCTGCTGGATAATTTCTAGAAAGCATCAGAATTCCTCTCTGCAAGATGAAATAGAGATTCCCAGTGCCTGAAAATCCTGTCTGCAGGAAAGAACCTTCCTCCCTCGGGGACCAGGCTTTGTGACTGTTGCCCTGTAATGAACAGGCTCTCCCATCAAAACCACAAACCTGCACCTGGCACAGCAGGAGCTCACCCTTGGCTGCATCTCCAGCTCCACACATCACTGGGGCAATGGAGCATCAAGAGACACACAGGTGAAAAAAGGGTAGGAGGCAGCAAAGGGCCATATGGATAATGCAAAGGGTGACCTTTCATCTTTGATATAAATCAGCTCAGACTGATCTGTGGGTGCAACCACTGTTATCTGTGGGGATTTAGTGGGCAAGAGGAGAAAAGCTCAAACAGGAGATTTGTTTGGAAACAGGATAAATATGAACGAAGGCACATTTATCTTTGTTATTTTGTATGTAATATGTGTGCACAGCACAGCCTAACCTGAAAACTCCTTAACCTCTCTCCACTGAATAATCTTGTTTTTCAGGAGGGAGAAGTTCAGCACAAAGTTCCTGCATGTAATTATTGGTAGTAAGTAGAAGTCTAATGAAAATGCCCTCTCCAGATGCTGATTTGGCTGATGGTTATTCCTGTTCAGGAATATGACTGCCTTGGTAATAACTACCCAGATGTGCTGGATATAAGCACATAAGAAGAGCTGGCTAACAGCAAAGGCAGATTTATCTGTATTTATGTACAGACTAGTCAGGCACAGAGGGTGGGCAAGGGATGGAACGGGATGAAAAGGTTTGCAGGTTCCTTCCTCTTGCTCCTTCTCCTCATATGCTTAGTTACCACACCCAGTCCTACTTATTTTTGTCACTTTTTTGTGGCTGGGAGAATAAAGAGAGAGTGAATGGCCTTTTCTGAAGGCCACTGAATTATTTAAAATGAGACTAAGAATGAAAACCTAACAGGAAACCTTGCTGTAAGTGGTCACAGCAAGAGAAGACCATGCAAATGCTTCTGGTTCCTAGAACTAAGGGTCCAGTTTTCTTTTATCTGGGTTGGAATATGGCCGTCATGGCTGGGAAGTTAGTTAGTATTTACAGATAATTTTCCCTGTTAGCTCTGCAGACAGGTTTCAGTCCTCAGTTGCTCATGAATGATTAACTACAGCCTCCTGACTTCCAGTGCTCTCACACTGTGCAGTTGGTCACCTCCCCATCAGGTCAGAAAGCAGAAAGCAGGTCCTGGGAAAACTTCCAGCAGAAAGAGCAGTTGAGGGAAACAGACATTTAGTCAGCTGGTTTAAAAGTACACCTCTTGGGTAAATATTTTCCATTCCACTTGATGACACCTGGTCAGGTATTTCCAATGTTTTGCAATGTGCCAGAAACACACACTGTGATTATCATCCTGTAGATGAAATGGGCTTGACTTTGTTGGAATTTTTATTATTACATGTGTAGCTGTAATCAAAGTACAAAGGCATTGGTGTGCAAACAATAAAAAAAAATACCTCTGGAGAAAACTGGCAAATGAAAGAGAAGATTATTGCTTTGTACTAGTTAACTGTCCTATGTATTGATATAACATTCAGAAGCTGCAGTCTGTCTTGTGGAGCCTGAGAATGTCATATCTATGTAGATGTATCTACACAGAGAAATGAATTGTGACTCTCTCATGAACTGTCTATCCATCAGTCATCTCCCTCTACATCTAGGCATGCACACACAAACATATTTATATACATATGGGCCTGTATAGATCCTGATGTACAGCATGTCACCAAACCTTCAAGAATACATTTTCTCTCTTGATAAACGAAGTATCTGCCAGCTGCTCCAAAAAGTTCTTCTGAGCAGGTAAATACACAGCTGAATGAACCTTGAGCAGAAAAAAACCTGAATGTTTTGATCAGGTACTGCACCAGGCACCGTACAAAAGGGCTCCAAGGCAATCCCAGCCTCCCAGGCCTCCCAGCTGAATTGTCCAGCAGGAATATGAGGGGAAGATGGTTCAGAGAAGTAACCTGAGCTTGTGTAGCAAATGCAACAGGAAGCCAGCCAAGGTGAGCACTCCTCCTATCCTAACTTGATGCTGGGCCAGGCAGTCAGTGGTGGCTTCTGGATAGCAGGGTAAGGCAAGGCATAAAGGAGGATGCAGTGTTGTGAGATGGATTTTAATACAGAAACCCAGTATTTAATGAAATATGACTCTGTGACTGTGCATGGAAATGTGTGTGTGATGGACTGTCAATGAGGTGATTCTGTGCTAGAGCTTTATGCCCTAGAGGTGATCGAGTGCTATGAAGAAGCTGGGAATCTGTGAATTGCTCTCCTCTCTCCATTGCTATCTGCTGATCCCTCAAAAACTGCCTTACTGTACCATGGCATGCAGATATTCCCCTGGGCTGTGTTATTTCCTCTCAGCATCTCTAATATGAGTTCTATTTCAGGTTTTTTCATATAGAAATCTCTTTCTGGCTGAGGCTGCTCTATTGATCTGTGTCTATAAAGGGTCAGCAGTGTGAGAGTGGTCTTAAATAATGCATTGGAGTTTTCTCCCTCTGCTCTCAGTGAGTTCTGGGGAAATGCTCTGTAGAACTGCCATGGAATCTTCCTAGCTTGAACTGTCTCCGTTGGCTTGTCCTTTTTTCTCCCCAGATCCTCAAGGACAGAAAGCAAAGTGAACTCAAGGTGCTTAGTGTGTAGAATAGATGCTGTTATTTAATGTCCAGAGGCCATTCTTTAAATCAAGAGAGGCTGCTTCTCTTGTTTTGTAAGATGGTTTTGAGTGTGAGCATTATATTATTGATGCCTTTAGGCATCTGACAATCAGTGGCATAGTTTTGCCATCCTGTCTCTGCCAGTGAGTTGGTTTTTTTCCCCACCTCAAAACAAAGCCTGCTTGTTTTGAATGCTCTTTTGGAAGGAGCTTGGCTCTTGAGGCTGACAGTGAGAGCTCCTGACTCCCTAGAGGCCTAATTTTG